TGGGGCTCACAAAACCCTTAAGCACCAACCACATCTGGGGCAAAAAAGAAAAATCCACAAGGTTTAAAAGACAAAAGCAGGGCAAATAAAAACAGCTAAAGACTGTGCTACACGTTATAGGTCACAAAGCACTCCACATATGTGTTCTTGTTCAATCCTCACTAATCCAGGGGTCCAGGCATCATCATTGCCTTTTACATCCAGGCAAACGGGGGCTGCAGGAGAGGAAGTGATGTGCTCCAGGTCACACCACTCGGAAGTGCCAGAGCCTGCGAACCCAGGCTCTCTCACCAAGACTGAAAGCTGTGCGTCCTGTAGCTTGTGGCTGTACAAGAAAAGATGTCAGCAAGGCGTGGAATGGCACTTCAGCCAGCCTCTACTTCCCTGCTTGGCAGAGTGAGTGGAAAGGGAGCAGGAGAAGGGGTGGGGGAGGGGGAGAGGAAAGGAAGAGAAAGGAGAAGACAAAAGATTCTGTGACCCCCTAGCCTAAGCCAAGTGGATGGGGCTCTCCTTTGTGCCATTCCCAGCTGTGTCTCTCTGCATACCCAAAACACACCCCACTCTGGTCATTCGTTTGGAGCCTGCAGCTTGCTGGAGAATGTGAGCCCCCTAAGGACAGGGGCAGCTGTATTTGTCATGGCATCCCCAGCGCCTGTCCCTTCAGAGAGCCATCAGTAGAGGACAGAGGGCTCTGAGTGCTGACTCTCTGGGGCAGGCACCACCCTGGATGCTTTCCCAGGAGGCAGATACCACCATTCCCATTTTGTAGGTGAGAGAATGAGATGCAAAGAGGAGGTAAGGAATCATTCGAAGAGCTTTGGGGTGGGGGAGGAGAATTAACAGCAGGGAGGAAAGTTGAGTGTGCTTATGTGTGCCCAGACGGGCACTTCCAGAGCACGGCCGGGCTGCCGGGCTCTGAACCCAGAGTGAGGTCTCGTTAGCATGCAGAGGGGAAGAGCCATGGGGGGATGCCGTCCAGAGCATTAGGAAGAGACAGGCTGTGTTTTAATTATGACCTAGACTTTTGAGCAAATCCTTTTCTCTGCTTGTCTGAGCCTTAGAGAAAACAACTTGCGGGAGGTGTACAGTCGGCAGCTGGGTCCACAGTGGTGCCCGCACAGCTGTGCACACATCTGGCACGCAGGTGGTGGGCAGCATGCGCCTTTTCCCCTTGAATTGCTCTGGGGTGAGTGAAGGTAGCAAGAGTCAAGGTAGTTCGGTGAGGTTCAGAGGGAGAAGGCGGATGGAGAGAGTGGAGGGAAACAGGACCGGCCCGCTCTTTCTTGTCCCCGATCTCCAGTGACCATGGCCATTCCAGACCACTCCCGCCACTTCTTCCAGCCACCCCCGAGTCAACATGGTGGGCTTTCTTTATCAAGCTCATCCCAGCCCTCCCTTCTCCAACTCGGGGGAAATTTGTGGAGTGGGGGGATGAAATTAAGAAGGGGAGAAAAAGAGGAGGAGATTAACAGGGTGGAAGTTAGACAAGCACAGATGCTACCACCTGCTGCTGCAGATTCTCAAGTGCTTGTTGACTCCCTGGACTCGTTTGCCTTGAGTCTGTTTAACAGTTCATTCCGGGGGAAGGGGAGGAGAAGGAGGGCCTGGAGACAAAGGGCCTTTGACCAGCTCCTGGAAAAGCACTGATTAGTTTGCTCAGGTTGGCAAACAGTGGCTGGGGACTTGGGGCCCAAGGATGAACCGGGTGGATTTGCTGCCGAGTGCACAGCGTCCACCATCGGGGGAGGGAGTGTAGACAAATATTCAAGGGGCTGGCGTGTCCAGAGGTTCAGACGCAGAGAGAGGAAACCATACTGGCAGCCAGAGGAAGGGGCAGGGCAGGGGAAGGGCTGGAGTTCTGGCTGGTGGGCTCTAGCATACCCAATTTCTCCCTGAAGCTGAGAGGCACATCAGGGTAGATATTTCTAGGTGGTCCCGAAGGCCAAGGGCAGGCAGGGTTGGGGTAGTGCCTCATGTTGGTGTGTGTTGAAAGGGAGACAGCCTTTGCACTTCCAGTCTGCAGAATGGCCTCTGTGGGGAGGCTGTTCCCTTGGGGATCCGTGGGAGGTGGCTTCGGCCTCTGCCTCCTGCCTTCGCTTCCTCCACTCCGAGGAGTTTGAACGGCTCCCTCTTTCTTGTGCGGTCTGTGTGTGGTGGGAGCTCCCCCTTGGCTTCCTCTTTTCTCCACCCTCAAAACTCCTCCCTCCTTCTAGGAAGCTTCCAAGATAAACGCCCAGTGCACATGTATTAATTAATTTAGAGTCACAAACCAGTACACTTTTAGAGTTGGGAGGTAATTAAATATTATAATTACTTATATATATGCTATAGCTTTATGTCATTCTATTTCGTATTCATGGGACATTGCTTTGTACCGTTATTATTGATAAATATGTTCTGTTTCCTAAAGGTAAATCCCTAAGGGGAGATCTTTGTTTGTTTGTTCGTTTGTTTGTTAGTTTACTGTCTCTTCTACAAGCATGGGAGCTCCGTGAGGTCAGGGGTGTGTTGTGTATCCTCCTGAGCCTGCAACGATGCCCGACTCACAACAGACACACAACATACACTTGTTTATGTACAAGAATGCTGTTTTCCTGCTTCTTCCTATTAAGGCACAAAGTGTGTGGTGTATTGCAGGGTACACAGTGGACACTTCTGAACAAAGAAAGAATGAATGAAAAGAATAAATGATTGCATGAATGCCTGTTTGAGCGTTTGAGATGGGATTGGCCACCGTTAGGCCATTATGGTAGTTGGCCTGTCTATGGGAAAACGCTTTTCAGTGGTTCACATTTTCTTAGCTGCTGCCAAGGTGAGCTCATTCGTCGAGCAAGCTGGCGTTGGCTCCCTGGGTCTCCTCCGCGCCCGCTCCCGCCTGTCTTTGTGAAGAGCCGAGTGGGCGCGTAGCTTTATCTCTTCGCTCCGGCCCTTCTACCTCTCCTTGCCGTTCTCTCCCTTATACCATCTGACTTGCCCACGTCTATTGGCTCCTTTGGTATGTGGGGACACACGGAGAGAGTGTTTGTGAGAACCTTCCCCTCCCCTCCCCCCATTGTGCTACTGCTTTAAAAAAAGAAAACAACTCTGTATTTTGGAAATAGTAAAATGTGTGCTATGGCGAATGAATCTCAGAGATATTTTTAGGGTATATTATCTCTGTGCTTACGCCAAAGTTTTGACAAATGCAATTATGGTATTATCAAGCAATTTTTAAAAAAGGAAAAAAGAAACAGAGAGATCTGCTTTAAATTTGGGGTCTTTCATAGGCTACCCAGAACTGTTATTTAACTGGAGTGACAAGGAAGGGAAGGGACAGCTTTACCTATTATGTGTTGGCTGCTATGCTAGGCTCTTTACGCATGTTATTTCAGAAAAAAGGGAGAACAAATGAGATCCGTGGGTCCAATCAAATTAACTTTTATTGAGTACCCACCATGTGCAAGAGGTTGGGGAGTACATAAATATTCCATAGCCCTTATTCTTGAAATACGAGCTGTTGACGAGATAAGCCATAGACTTGGAAAAAGTTAAATAATAGGGCAAGATTAAGATAATATTGTGAGCCAGCAAGAGGAAGCAAAGACTGTAGGACTTTTGGAGCTAGCAGAGATGGTCTGGCCTAACATCTTTGACAACAGCCAGAGAAAAGGAGGTGCGAAGGGGAGGGAGAGCCAGGTGGAGGTTTTGCACACAGGTATCTGCAGAGCCGGCAGCAGAAGCCGGGCCTCCAGATCCCACTGCTGTTTGTATTAAAGTCCTGAGACATCTCCAGATAACGGCTGAATGGCCAGCACAGAGGGTTCGTGGTACAGGAGTTGAAGGGAGGGACAGTCACTTCAGGCTGGAGTAGGGCAGATCAGGGCAGGATTTAGGGGCGAAGGTGGGAGCTGAAGGGTGGCTTGGATTCAGTGGATTAAACAGAGTAGGAAGGGCTTTCCAGGAGGGTGGAATGGTATAAACAGGCCCAGAGGTAGGGGATCAGCAACGTTGAATACAAGAGACTGAGCATCTTGTCATCACCTGCCACCCCTCCTGTGGCACCTGCCCCCAACCTGGTAGGGTTCACCCCACAACCTCACGTCCACAATTTCAGGCCTGGGCACAGGCTGTTCCTTGGACTGGGAATGCCCCTCCTCTGCCCCTTCATGCCTGCCAGCCTGCCCTCCTTCCTAGCTTTCGTTTGCTCAAGATTTATTAAACACATAATAAAATGCAAACCCCCCTCCTCACTCCCTGCCAGTTAGTTGTTTTCTCCTCTGCACTCCTGTAGTCCTCTCCTTTAATTGTTTGGATATCGTCTGTCTCTTCCATTAGCCCGAACTCATTTCTGGAAGGGATTTTCTTTTATTCACCTTCACATCACTAGCACTTACTGCTTTTGGCTTTGAATATGAAATAGACACTCTCTAAGTGTTTTCTAAGTGAAAATAAATGAAATAAGAGTTAAGTACCGAGAGATGGGCTGAACACATTGAATATCAGGCTGGGAATTTGGGATGCAATTTATCTCTCAAAAACTGGATGACACATCTAGGAGCTAAACTGCATCTGGGGAGCTCGTTAAACATTTACATTCTGGGGCATACCCTTCACATGCTGCTCGGAGTGGGCCTGGACATTTTTGCTATAGTTGTAGTTGTTGGTTTAAATAATCAGCTCCCTCTGGGATTCTGGACAGCCTGGCGCCAGTCTGGAGACCCACCCTTGGGGACACTGTGTCATGGACCACACTGAATGAGACCCTGGGCATTATTAGCTCAGGCATCCTTCCTCCAGCGTCTTTAGCCCTTCTTTCCTTAAGCCTTTGAAAGAGTGACTCAACAGGATGCTTTAGTTCAGCCTCCTCAGGGAAATAAGTAACCTGGATTCAGAGTCTACTCCATCCTGAGCATCCTCATCCCAGTTCTTGAAGTTCCTTTTGCTGTGGACTTCGGGGGAGACCGAGGCCCAAGCCAGCCCTTCCTCACGGTGCGTGTCCTCCCTCTCTCCCCTGCCGCCAGGCTGTTTGCTGTCAAATGTGGGGGCTGCTTCGAAGCCATCGCACCCAATGAGTTTGTGATGCGGGCCCAGAAGAGCGTCTACCACCTGAGCTGCTTCTGCTGCTGTGTCTGCGAGCGGCAACTTCAGAAGGGCGACGAGTTTGTCCTGAAGGAGGGGCAGCTGCTCTGCAAAGGGGACTACGAGAAGGAGCGGGAGCTGCTCAGCCTGGTGAGCCCGGCAGCCTCAGACTCAGGTGAGTGCCAGCCAGGTGGTAGGCAGGGCCGGGACGGGGTGGGTAGAGTGGGGTGGGGTGGCCATCTGCGTTGCTTCCTGCCTAGAAGACCAGCCACTAGGGCAGCCTAGCTCCATGGCAAGGCAGTTCTGTGTATTACAGGAACTTTCTTTCTTTTTTTTTTTTTTTTTGAGACAGAGTCTCACTTTGTTGCCCAGGCTAGAGCAAGTGCCGTGGCATCAGCCTAGCTCACAGCAACCTCAATCTCCTGGGCTCAAGCAATCCTCCTGCCTCAGCCTCCCAAGTAGCTGGGACTACAGGCATGAGCCACCATGCCTGGCTAATTTTTTCTATATATATTAGTTGGCCAATTAATTTCTTTCTATTTATAGTAGAGACGGGGTCTCGCTCTTGCTCAGGCTGGTTTCGAACTCTTGACCTCGAGCAATCCTCCCGCCTTGGCCTCCCAGAGTGCTAGGATTACAGGTGTGAGCCACCGCACCCGGCCTACAGGAACATTCTTTATAAACTCAGAGTCATCTCTTATCAGTCAGCTACTACCATGACAATGGTGTGTAACAAATTACCCCACAACTCCGTGGTATACAGCCATAAACATCTCACGCACGCACAAGTCTCTGAGTTAACTGGAGTGACCTTGCAGCAGGCTGAAGGCTTCCAGGTAGCTGCTGTCTGCTGATCTCAGCTGAGCTGAGCTTCAGGCTGTAGACCAGCTTTAGGTCTGCTCTGTGCGACTGATTCTGAGGTCCAGGTTTGCGGGGAAGCAGCTACAGGGCATGATTTCCTGGCAGTGCTAAAAGTGCCACACGAGCACATTGCAAGCCTGTGTGCACAGTGTATCTGCTAGTATCCCATTGGCTAAAGCAAACGTCAGTTTCAAACTCAAAGTCAAGTGGAGAGGAAATACACTCCATGCACCACAAAGCCCTGGCGGGGTATAGACACCTAATCCTTATTAAAGAGAATGATGAATTGGAACCAATGATTCAGTCTACCACAGTCACTGAACTGCCCTAGGCTTTTGTTTCCTCATCTGTCAAGGGGGAAGGATGGAGTCTATCTAAGGCTTGGTGAGTCACAGAAAGAAAGGAAATAGAACTGTGTTCCTTCTCCTCCTCACCCACCTGACGTTTCCCCCAATTGCCTTGAGGGGGGGAGAGGAGAAAGGAGAGGTTCAGAGATTTTTACAGAGCAGGTTTCACAAAATCAAAGAAATTGCCTTAAATGAAAACTGCCTACATTAAACCTAGAGTGCCTTTTTGGGGTATTAGACCCCATTGGGCAACATTTGTCTTTCTCAGAAGAATCTGTGAGATCCATGAGATAACATTCACGTGACCTTACCAGTTCTTGCCATTGCCCATCCTGGTCCATTTCCAGGCCCTGTAACATGCTGACCAGGGTCACCTCTGATCTCTCTCACTCTACACTCCAGCCTTGGGGACACCAGCACCCATCAGTGTCTCTTCCCTCTCTGCCCCCCTCCCTCCCTCTTTATCTTGCTAGCTTATCCCTCAAGCTTCCCTCTAACGCCTACTTCATCAGGAAGACTCTTATTCCCCGATGCTGGGAGAGTTTACCCGTAACTTCCCCTGCTGGGACATTTATCCCTCCTTACTGTGGTTACGTTTGGTTGTTTCTCAGTGTGTTCAGAGTGCTAAACTCCATGCGGGACGGTATGAGTCTTATTTACCATGGCGCCCTCAGGGCTTAGCACAAGCCCGGAACACTGAGGGTGCTCCATAAACTCTTTGCTAAAGAATAAACACACGAGATGAAAGCATCATGGTGTGGTGCCGAAGTACAGAAGCTCTGGAGACAGACAGGTGGGTGCTTTATGCAGGCTGTACCACTTACATCTATGTGACTTTGGGCAAAATTCTGAACCCCTCTAAGCCTCCATTTCTACAACTGCAAAACAGTGATAATCAAGCCTACCTAATAGGGAAATACAAAAGATAATGCATATAAAATCCTGGTGCTCAATAAATGCTGGTGCTTAACACCTGCTGGCTGGTGTTAGCATCTTCATAGTGTTGCATTTCGCTTCCTTTACCTGCCAGTTAGTTGGTTCTTCTTGTCTGACCCTGCTTGCAGCCTTAAGACAGGTGACACTAGGACAATCCCAACTCCTACTGGGCTTGTTGGTCTTAAGTTTTCCTGGATTTATTCTAATTTGAGAGAAACTTCTCCTAGTCAGGAACACTGGTGCTGACATACTGAATACCTTCTTCAGGGGTAGTTGGGCCTGTTCTAATGGCCCCCACTTGGAATCACAAGGCCAGCTCACCCTGTCATTTCCCCCAGGTGTCTTGCTGTGCCCACCCACTTAGGTCTCCTCCCCAGAATATTGCAAAATTTTCAAATTCCCAATGGGCTTAGGTGCTATAGTCATCAGTATATCAGCATGACCACAGAAAGACGTGCACACTCCGGGGAACCTGCCATTCTTTCTCACATGGACATAAATGCCGTGCTGTAGCTTTTCTTGGTACATAATTGTGTGTGGGGCTTGATCATTAAGTTATCCAATTGGCCTCTGTGCTAAAAGTTTACAGATTTTCCTTGACTGCAACATTAACGTGTGGCATTAGTGTATTGTCCCCGTCCTCCCACCCCTGCAATAAAACAAAAAAACAAAAGCAATAAGAGAAATCTGGATCTGAGCAGCATTAATAGATTAATAGAATTATAATGTTCAGAATGAAGGAACTGCAACAGGTTCACTTTTCTGGCCGCATTTTCAGCAATATGTCCAGTTCTGGGAATTTCTCTTTGAGGCTGATATAGACAAATTGGAGCTTTCCAGTTGATTCATTCATGTATTCAGTAGGTGTATCTTGAATGCTCACTTTACACCAGGCACAGTCTCACCACATGAATGATAAGAACGGTGTGGGAGTACGGGGGTCTCAAAAGCATGTCCAAGGAAGGAGTTGTCCAGGCTAGAAAAGTAAAGACTAAATAAGGACATAATTGTTGCCTTCAAATGGTTGCATCAGACTGATTTTTTTCTTAAGTTCAGAGAGCAGGATTAAAATTCATTAATTTAATTATTCAATGCAATCATTGAGTACCTTCACTATAGATAGAAAGGCGTGCAGGGAAACACTTTTCAGCTCAACACAGAGAATGTTGGAATGTCATTGTAATTATTAGGTCTCACAAAGAGTAAGACTATTCAAGAGATTATTATCCCCCATTTGTTGAAAGTAATAGTAGTGGTGCGAGAGGGGACGGTAGTTCTAGATCTCTGTTATCCCTCTCAACTCTAAAAATCAATAATTATTTTTGTGGTTTTAAATGAAATGACATTCAAGTCTCAACTAGAATCAAATATCTCATTTGGATCGCCGATTTTGTCAATTATATAAATGCTTCCTGTCTTGCATCGTAAAATGTTCTGTGTATCAAAGCTTCCTTCTCTGATGAGAGGACAAACTTCCAGACAGCAGGGTTGCAGCTTTTCATTCCTTTGTTCCCTTAACAAAGCTTAACATGAGGCCAAGAGGAAAGTAAGTGATCAATAAGTACCTAATGAGTTGAATTAAATCTTCAAGGAGTGAAGTCTTCCTCATATTATAGGTTTACAGAAAGCAAACCATATTAGGTTCTGTCCCAGTACAAATACAATTTCCCCTCTGGTTTCTGTCTTGAGCACCATACGTATATATTGTAGATGTTTGATAAATATTTGTTGAGCGAATGATTGACCTATCATCTTTAACGTTTTTATCAATGATTTGGATGAAGACACACAAGGCAGGCTTATTCAATTTGCAGATGACACAAACCTGGCAGGGAACGCTGGTGTGGCAGCTGATACTCTCAAGGTTCAGAAACATTTTGACGAGCTAACAGATCAGCACAAAGTTGGCGAGATGAAATCTAACCATCAGGCTCGAAAATTCAATTGTAATTGCGTGAAATGGGGCCTGTTTTGGTGGAATTCCATGTGGGGTTGTAGTTGATAAGGTCAATAAAGGCTAAGAAGACACATGCTGCATTAATAGAACTATAGTGCCCCTAAAATGTAATTATAGTTCTGTTATTTATTTATATTTTTTGCATTAGTCAGAGCACATTTATAATATTTGGGCTAATTTTATTTTATTTTATTTTTTTTGAGACAGAGTCCCACTTTTGTAGCCCAGGCTAGAGTGCCGTGGCGTCAGCCTAGCTCACAGCAACCTCAAACTCCTGGGCTCAAGTAATCCTCCTGCCTCAGCCTCCCAAGTAGCTGGGACTACAGGCGTGTGCCACCATGCCCGGCTAATTTTTTTCTATATATTTTTAGTTGTCCAATTAATTTCTTTCTGTTTTTAGTAGAGACTGGGTCTTGCTCTTGCTCAGGCTGGTTTCCAACTCCTGACCTTGAGCCATCCACCCACCTTGGCCTCCCAGTCTGTTCCTGGCCCTGGGCTAATTTTAAATGATTCATTTTAGGAGGTCACTGAGTACCTAGAGAGTCGTAAGAAGAGTGATTAGCTTGTTAATAATAAATAACTAAAGAAACTCAGCGTATTTAGCTTTGTAAAAACAAGGCTAAGGAATATATGAGAGTCACACTCAAGGTCATAGACTCATGTACTAGGGGACAAGTGACAGGTTTCAGTCCCATATAGGGTGGCACTGTGTCCAACAAGGGTGCAGACTGAACTGCCTTTGTGGGGAGTGAACTTGCTTGTCCCTTCGCATTTTAATCACAGTTGGTAGAAGACCGCTCCGATGACCTCCAGGGCTGCTTAAATCTAGGATTCTAGAATCTACGGTTGGATGCTGCTGACTAATCTGACTTACACAGAAGCACCTGACGTGTTCACAACCACGTGGGACACCAAACTCAGGAGATCTTCGGCTGCTGGAGGCTCTTTTCTGATGTGGCTCAACTTTTTTGTCCTGATCCCTGCTTTGCTAGTGGCCTTGAGACAGCCTCCTAAGCAGATGAATGGAATTTGTAGCCAGAGTCAGTTCTCTTGGGGCCCCGTGGGCAACCTGGA